ATAAGTAAGAGTGTTGAACCCAATGAGGAGCAGAAGGAAATGACAAGCGGTTTTCAGTAAGGTATTCTCTGCAAGCACTGAAATTATCGGTAACAGATAGTTTTGTGATAAGGTAATTCGTAATGGATAACAAGTAACAAGAGTAAACAAGGTGCAGCAAGGTGCCCCAATCCTTTTCGTAGAAAAGGACAAGCCTGGACAAACTCTTATATACAGGAAAACGCTCCCGACGACACATGTGAATTATCGTCAAGCTAGTTTTCATCATGGTCATATGATTCACGTTCATTACTTTGGTAATTTGATTTGTGGGTGGACCGGTTCTTGGGTACTGCCCTTCCTTGGACAAGCATCCACTTATGATTAACCCCTCTCGCAAGCATCCACAACTACGAAAGAAGAATTAAGATAAACCTAACCATAGCTTGGACCATATGGATCCAAATCAGCCCCTTACGAAGCAACGCATAAACTAGGGTTTAAGCTTCTGTCACTCTAGCAACCCATCATCTACTTATTATTTCCCAATGCCTTCCCCTTGGCCCAAATAATGGTGAAGTGTCATGTAGTCGACGTTCACATAACACCACTAAAGGAAAGACAACATACATCTCATCAAAATATCGAACAAATACCAAATTCACATGACTACTTATAACAAGACTTCTCCCATGTCCTTAGGAACAAACGTAACTAATCACAAATCATATTCATGTTCATAATCAGAGGGGTATTAATATGCATAAAGGATCTAAACATATGATCTTCCACCGAATAAACCCGGGGGACCCTCGACGGTGACCCTCGAGTCACCGGCGGCTTCCCCGGTCACGGGTATGGTCATGATTTTGTCCTCCAACCCCACCCCTTGTCGTCACAAGTACTCGCGGCCATGGGCCAAGAACCTCCACCCATGGTGTTTCCCACTTTCGCTGGTGAAAATCCATAGTTATGGAAAACACTCGCCGAGCAGTATTTCCAGATGTTCACAGTCTATGAATCCTACCGGGTCCCTATGGCGACCTTGAACTTCTCCGGTCCTGCCGCGATCTGGCTGCAATCAGTGCAACGCAAAATCGCCGGGCTCAATTGGGAGTCGTTTACATCTTTGTTGTGCACTCAATTTGGTCGGGGTAAGCATCAGCTTTTGCTCCGACAGTTTTATGCTATTCGTCAGAACATTTTTGTAGCAGAATTTATTGAGTGATTTGAAAGATTGATGAATCATATGATCTCATATTCTGAACTGACTCATCCATATTTCTTCCTCATACATTTCATTGAGGGGCTGCGTGCGGATATTCGTGATGTGTTGCTCATTCAGAGGCCGCCAGACTTGGACACAGCATGCTCCTTGGCACTGTTGCAAGAAGAAGTTGCAGATGGAGAAGCCGCCATGCGAGCCACGTTCAACTGAATGCCAATTTCGCGCAGTGTGTCTACCAGTATAGCCACAGCAGCCATCGCATTCCCACGGCCCACGGCACCTGTTGTGACAACTGAAGACCAAAGAGGAACAAATGCAGCAAGGCCGCCTTCAGATAACAGTAAGATTACAGCCCTCCATAACTTCAGAAGAGCCCGTGGATTGTGCTTCAAATGCAGAGAAAGATGGGGCAAAGATCACACATGCCCCACCACAGTTCAGATGGACATCATTGAGGAACTTCTCGAGTTAATTGGCCTTGATGAAGTGAGTCGTGGTGATAAACATGTTGAACCTGTAGAGACAGACGATGACAATTTGTGTGTGTTGTCTATCCATGCAGTAGCTGGCTCAGAAGGCCCCGGCGTTATGCAGTTACATGCTTGACTATGGGGATGAGAGGTTCTTCTGTTGGTGGATTCCAGGAGCACGTCCTCATTTGTGGATCAACGTCTAGCTACTCGACTGAAGGGGGCGTTGCCACTGTCCAAGCCCTAGAAGGTTAAGGTAGCTGACGGTGCTTTGCTACTCTGCAACACTGCCATTCCTCAGTGTCAGTAGACATGTCAAGGTCAGGTATTTGTCACTAATTTCAAGATCATTTCACTGGGAGTGTATGACGCCATCTTGGGCATGGACTAGCTCAAGAAACACAACCCGATGTACATTGACTGGGAGGCACAACATATGTCAGTAACCACCAGTACATGAGTTGTGGAGCTTCAAGCTATAGCAAAGGGTTCCCACAAGTGCTCTGCATTTTCATCTCAAGAGCTTCTGAATTCTTGCAAACAAGGGTCTGTAGCCTATGTTGTCCATCTGAACACTATAGCAGATCAAGCCGTTGCCGACACTGCAATACCAACTAAAATTATGAGGGTACTTGAACAATACACAGACATGTTTGAAGAGCCCCGGGGCCTACCTCCTCGCCGAGAGTGTGATCACATAATACCATTAATGGAAGGTGCTCAACCAGTGAACTTGCAACCATATCGCCACAAACCTGAGATGAAAATAGAAATTGAGAGGCAGGTTAAAGAGCTATTGGATGCTGGCGTTATTCAAAAAAGCAACAACCCTTTCTCCTCACCTGCTCTGTTAGTGAAGAAGAAGGATGTCACGTGGCGATTGTGTGTGGATTACCATCACCTCAGTGCTATGACTATAGTGAACAAATACCCAGTAGCGATAATCGATGAACTGTTCGATGAGTTGGTGGGGGCAAGATGGTTTTCCAAGCTTGATTTGCATGTGGGGCATTGATGTCTACTACACAACCTTCTTCTTGTAGACGTTGTTGGGCCTGCAAGTGCACAGGTTTGTAGGACAGTAGCAAATTTCCCTCAAGTGGATGACCTAAGGTTTATAAATTTGTAGGAGGCATAGGATGAAGATGGTCTCTCTCAAGCAACCCTGCAACCAAATAACAAAGAGTCTCTTGTGTCCCCAACACACCCAATACAATGGTAAATTGTATAGGTGCACTAGTTCAGCGAAGAGATGGTGATACAAGTGCAAAATAGATAGTAGATAAAGGTTTTTGTAATCTGAAATTATAAAAACAGCAAGGTAGCGAGCGATAAAAGTGAGCGTAAACGGTATTGCAGTGATAGGAAACAAGGCCTAGGGTTCATACTTTCACTAGTGCAAGTTCTCTCAACAATAATAACATAGATAGATCATATAACAATCCCTCAACATGCAACAAAGAGTCACTCCAAAGCCACTAATAGCGGAGAACAAACGTAGAGATTATGGTAGGGTACGAAACCACCTCAAAGTTATTCTTTCGGATCGATCTATTCAAGAGTTCGTACTAGAATAACACCTTAAGACACAAATCAACCAAAACCCTAATGTCACCTAGATACTCCATTGTCACCTCAAGTATCCGTGGGCATGATTATACGATATGCATCACACAATCTCAGATTCATCTATTCAACCAACACAAAGTACTTCAAAGAGTGCCCCAAAGTTTCTACCGGAGAGTCAAGAATGTGTACCAACCCCTATGCATAGGTTCATGGGCGGAACCCACAAGTTGCTGACCAAAACATACATCAAGAGGCACATGATATTCCATTGTCACCACAGATAAGCACGGCAAGACATACATCAAGTGTTCTCATAAAAGACTCAACCCGATAAGATAACTTCAAAGGGGAAACTCAATTCATCACAAGAGAGTAGAGGGGGAGAAACATCATAAGATCCAACTATAATAGGAAAGCTCGGGATACATCAAGATCGTGCCTTAGAGGGAACACGAGAGAGAACACGAGAGAGAGAGAGAGAGAGATCAAACACATAGCTACTGGTACATACCCTCAGCCTCGAGGGTGAACTACTCCCTCCTCGTCATGGATAGAGCCGTGATGATGAAGATGGCCACCGGTGAAGGATCCCCCCTCCGGCAGAGTGCCGGGAAGGGCTCCCGAGAGGTTTTTGGTGGCTACAGAGGCTTGCGGCGGTGGAACTCCCGATCTATCTTGATATTCAATGGTTTTAGGGTACGTAGGCTTATATAGGCGAAAGAAGTCGGTCAGGGGGGTGCTCGAGGGGTCCACGAGACAGGGGGCCGCGCCCTGGGGGGCGCCCCCTATCTCCTGGGCTCCTCGAGGATCTTCTGACTTGATCTCCAAGCCTCCAGGATGATATTCTTCCAAAAAATCACGATGCCTAAGGTTTCATTCCGTTTGGACTTCGTTTGATATTCCTTTTCTTCGAAATACTGAAACAGGCAATAAAATAGCAATATGGGATGGTCCTCCAGTTAATAGGTTAGTCCCAAAAGTAATATAAAAGTGTATAATAAAGCCCATAATCATTCAAAACAGAAAATAAAATAGCATGAATGCTTCATAAATTATAGATACGTTGGAGACGTATCAGGTATCATCAAATCCAAATGGCAGAGGGTGAGGAGTACAAAACAGAGTTCACTACTCACTTGGGGCACTGGGAATGGCTAGTGATGGCATTTGGAGTGGCCGGTGGCCCAGCTACCTTTAATGGGGCCATGACCACTACTTTACATCCACTAATCAGGATTTTTGTACTCGTGTTCTTCGACGATATTCTAGTTTTCAGCAAAACTCTAAAGGAGCACGTTGAACATGTTCGTCAGGTTCTGCAGCTGCTGCGAGCGGATCAATGGCGTGTCAAGCAATCAAAGTGTGCATTTGGCCAACAACAAATAGCATATCTGGGCCATGTGATTAACGCATCCGGTGTCTCCACCGACCCTAGAAAGATTGAGACAATCAAGAACTGGCCGAAACCTCTGAATGTGAAGGAAGTACGCAACTTCTTGGGATTAGCAGGGTATTACCAAGTTTGTCAAGCATTTCAGGATCATCGCCCGACCACTATTCAATCTACTCAAGATCGGCACCCGTTTGTCTGGACCGATGACACACAAAAAGCATTTGACTTACTCAAGCACGGCCTAGTCTCAGCTCCAGTGTTGCAACTTCCTGATTTCTCCAAGACCTTTGTGATAGACACAGATGCATGCGATTATGGAGTGGGCGTAGTTCTGCAACAAGGGCGCCATCTGATTGCATACATGAGTAAACCACTGGGTCCCAAGAACCATGGCCTGTCCACCTACGAAAAAGAATGCCTCGCTATCTTGATGGCCATTGAACAGTGGCGTCCATATTTGCACACCGATGAGTTCCTTATCAGAACTGACCAATGCAGCCTAGTTCACCTTGATGATCAACGGTTATCAACTGTTTGGCAACAGAAGGTCTTTACCAAGCTATTGGGGCTGCGTTACAAGATTTTCTATAGGCAAGGTGCCACCAACAGTGCAGCAGATGCTCTATCTCGTCGTGTACATTTGATAGAGCAACTAACAACAGTTTCTGTGTGTCAACCAACATGGATTGAAGATATCCGCGCAAGCTATGTCAACAATGAGCAGGTTCAAAGGATACGAGAACAACTGCGCCAACGTCCTGACCCCAAAGGTCGCTTCACTTGGTCAGGCGAGCTGCTGTATTTCTACAACAGGTTGTGGCTAGGAGGCTCCAGCGCACTGTAGCAGCGCATGCTAAAAGCATTTCATGATAGTACGGTTGGAGGGCATTTTGGATTCCCAGTGACCTACTGCCGCCTCCTACGTCTATTTGCTTGGCCAAAGATGAAAGAATGCATCAATAACTATGTGCAAACATGCGCCGTCTGTCAGCAAGATAAACCTGAACGGGTCAAGTATCATGGCTTACTCGAACCAATTCCACTGCCTGAAGGGGCTTGGCAAGTCGTTACAATGGAGTTTATCGATGGCCTTCCTCAATCGGGCATGGCAAACTGCATCCTAGTGGTTGTTGACAAATTCACACGGTATGCACACTTCCTTCTATTGGATCATCTAGTCACTGTTGCTAAAGTTGCTCGAGTTTATTTGGACAACATTTACAAACTGCATGGTCTGCCCAAAGCCATCATCTCAGACCGAGATCCAGTGTTTACTAGCAAGTTCTGGCAGGAATTGTTCCGTGTGATTGGTTCTGAACCAACATGAGTACCCCTTATCACCCGCAAATAGATGGACAGTCGGAACGCGTCAACCAGTGCTTGTAAATATTTCCGCGCTATTTCATCCATGCCTGCCCCCACCATTGGAGCCAGTTCCTTTCATTGGCAGAATTTTGGTACAACTCCAGCTACCACTCTGCTCTGGACATGTCTCTGTTTCAAGCCTTGTATGGCCATGAACCACGACACTAGGGGATCGAAGCAGCATCTACTTGCACATTGCCAGCTCTGAAAGAATGGCTCGAGGAACGCCAAGTGGTGCAGCTCATTCTGAAGCAACATCTCCACCGCACCAGGCACATTATGAAAGTACAAGCTGATAAGAAGAGGATTGATCGCTCCTTTCAACTAGGCGATGCTGTGTACATCAAATTGCAACCGTATGTTCAGATATCTATGGCAAGAAGAGCTAATCACAAGCTCGCTTTCAAGTACGTTGGACCGTATCCGATCAAGCGAGCTATCAACCCTGTTGCATACGAGGTTAGTCTTCCGTCTGATTCAAAGATACACCATGTTTTCCACGTATCTCAGATGAAGCAAGCGTTGGCCCCCGGTGTGATTGCTTCTTCAGAATTACCCATACCAGCTGATGGCGCTCTAGTACCAGTGGAAATTTTGAACAACAGATGGAAGGAGACATCGTTAGGGCGTAGAGAACAACTCCTTGTTAGTTGGTCCCATCCAGATATACTGTATGCGACGTGGGAAGATTCTCTGTCCCTACGGCAACGATTTCCTCAACTACCAGCTTGGGGGCAAGCCGTAAGTCAAGGAGAAGGGGATGTCAGCAGCCTACCTGCGACTAGCAAGAATACAACCACGACCACTGCCAAGTTAGCACCGGAGGAAGCCAAGTGGACCAATTAGGGTGAGGACCGCGTCATCGCTAGGCCAACTCGAATCAAGCATGCGAACCGGAGGTTCATGGGTCCACGGTGGGTTAGCTCTACATAAGTCTGAGAGAGGGCGAAGGAACGGCATCCGGGCTTGGATCAGGCACAAGGCAACGGCACCGGCTCCTCCTACTCCTTCCCTTTTTTTCTGCAAGTTGTAACTGAGAGAGACTTGTGGTGGATCCCCAACCTGTACTCGTGCTTGAGAAATATTCAGAGAATAACTAGTTCCTAACATCGTGGTATCAGCTAGCCACCCTCCACCCTTCCGCCACCGTCATCGCTGCCATGGGTCTGCCGCGCTGGAAACCCGCCGCCAGAAACAAGCGCGTGACATCGTCATCGCCACAAGTCTCTCTCAGTTACAACTTGCAGAAAAAAGGGAAAAGGTTGTTTGCATGCTCTGAAATCAAAGGTTGTTAGAGTTACTTTCAAAAGGAAAAAGGTTGTTAGAGTTAATACATCGCCTTGGTTTTATCGAAGGGCTCAATAAACCCGGACGGAGGGTTTTTATAATTTTGATCTGAAATATGAAATTTTGGCATGGGTTATCATATCTCATCATACAAGATTGTGTTAATGTTCATCAGTTTCGAAAAAATCTATAGTTATGTTCTACATATTGCTTGTAACTCAATCATTTTCATGAGTATTTTTTAATTTTCCTCTCGCAAGTCAACTAGGGAAAAAGAAAAATCATCCTTCCCTTGATTCTACCAAATAGCGCATGGACCCATCTCCCTTCTTCATGCCGCTCCGATGGCTGGTGGAGGGGAATCTTGCTACCTCTACCTCGGTTAGTAGATAGGTTACGTTTTTTTAGTCATTGCAGGGGCAACGCTCTGGCGAATGGCGGCGCTTCATTTTCGAGTTGGCCTTCTAGGCTTCGATTCTCCTCAAATTCTTTTGTTCGGATGTATTAGACGAAGCCCGGGTGTAGACTCCCATTGGTTCCTTGGGGTGACAAGGTTAGGGCATCACAAGATTTCGTGCCAGGTTCACGTATCGTTTCAAGGGTTCAACACTCACGACCGCGGCTGCGAGGTGCTGGTCCAGCAAGTACACAATCGCAAAAAAGTTGCATAAGTGTTATATCGGAGTATTATTTTATTGTACTACCTCTATAGCTTGGGCGAACTAGTACACGTTCCCCAACTAGAAATATTTTTGTACATGGGAGTATATGATAGCGGTGTGCAAAGACGGTGAGGTATCACCTTTTCCCTTTTTTTTTCAAATGTACTATTTGCCATAAACCACCCCCAGATCTCCGATATGAGCCAAGCCGGCTGAGCTCATAATCGAAAGGCATAATGAAAGGGTCCATCCTGCATTTATACGCCCGGCCGGCCGGCTCCTCCCAGGAAGCTTCCTCCGACGACAAGCACTGCACGACCGGGCCAGCGTCACGTCAGATCCTCCCTCCGCCGTCCCAGCCCCGTCCATCATCCCGTGCTCTGGCCTGCTCAGAGCTCACTCGTCCCCTCGTGTGTACAACCACTACCACGGGTGCCGACCGGCCGTCCAGATATCTCCTCCCCACCCGCGCAGCTTCCCGGAAGCTTCTCCCCCGGGATGGACATGGGGTCGCCGTCATCATCCTCTCGATCGTACCGTCCTATCCATGATGATCCGTCCTCACCTCCTCCTCCCTCCCGCTTTATACAAGAGGCCAGCCAGCGCTCGGCTTCTTGCGCCCCGTCGACGCAGATACAACGACAGCGACGACGGTTCTTCATCGACCCACTCCCGGCCGGTCGCTCGATCATCGGAGCATGGCGGACGACGGCGCTGAGGCGTACGAGGACCTGCTGCCGGTGATGGCGGGGCGGCTGGGCACGGCGGGGCTGCTGTCGGAGCTGCGGGCCGGGTTCCGGCTGCTGGCCGACCCGGCGCGGGGCGCCATCACGGCCGAGAGCCTGCGGCGGAGCGCGGGGGCCGTGCTGGGCGTGGAGGGGATGACGGCCGAGGAGGCGCAGGTGATGGTGGGCGAGGGCGACCACGACGGCGACGGCGCGCTCAGCGAGCAGGAGTTCTGCGTGCTCATGGTGCGGCTCAGCCCCGGCATCATGGCCGACGCCGAGGGCTGGCTCGAGGAGGCCATCGCCGACGAGCTGCTCCCGCCGCCGCCGCCGCCCGCGCCGGCCGCCTGAGCGGTCACCGGCATAGCTAGCCATCTCGATTGTTATGTACTACTACTTGCATCGATACTGACTTGTACGTATGTTTGTTGTATCGCCGCCGTGTAGCCGCCGTTGTTTGAGTGTTCGTACGTACATGGTGATGCTCTCCGAGGCTTTGAGCTTTGCTTTATTGATTAATTTAGCTCGTGCATGGACTTTTTAGTTCACCCAGGCCAGCAATCCTGGCTCGATCGTGCTCACACTCACCTCCGATCTTCGTTTCTGAACATTCCAATCTGGGGTAGAAGCATGCAAACTTGGTTCGGAACAGAGTGGCTGATATCATACAGGAGCATGTGTGTGATCTCACTTTTCGAAGAGCTTTTGGGGGAAGTTTGATCGAGATGCTGCCTCTGCTCATGTAACAGAGCAAGACTGCTTCTATGTATATATGTGTTTTCCAGGTCGTTCAGGAGTTGACAAAAATAATACCCTGGGATCTGGGAATCATGACGTTCTTCTCTCTATGGGGTTGTTGAATCTTCTAAGCGTTTGGTTTTTTTTTACTGGTCCCATTGCCTTAGTCTGTACGATGTAAGAGCATCTCTAACCGATCTTTCAAAAACTGTAGAAGAGTAAAGTTTCACTTTTCCTTCTTTGAACTAGATCTGACCGATTCCTTCAAAACTTTGTAGGAGTAAAAATTGGCCACCCCGACTCTTATTTTTACTCGGCGAGCAACACGATCCTTGCAGCACCGCCCGTTACGGAGCGATGTTATTGTACATCTCGGCCACCAATCAGGTGGCCAGCGTCGTACTGGTCGTGGAGCGGGAACAGGACGGCCGCACCTACAAAGTGAAGAGGCCGGTCTACTATGTTTCCGAGGTGTTATTCCTGTATAAAACGAGCTGCCCTCACTATTACTCCCTCCTTTCCGGTTTATAAGGCTCAATTCAAAAATCTCACAACCAAGGTAGATGGTGAGTGATGGAATAATTTTTGTAGTTTGCAAAAACACCCAATTAATGTTCTTGTTTTCCTCAAAAAGTATGTTTACCAATGCATTAATTGCAATGCATGCATGCATAAATTACATGCATTGGTCAATTTTCTCTTAATACTTGCATGCAATGATTTAATTCACCTTGGAATCTGAACATGTGATGGGAAACAACCAAATTGAGCCTTATAAAATGGAAAAACTAAAATTTTGAGATAAACCCTATAAACCGGAAAGGAGGGATTGCGTACGCAATTTTTATGGCATCTCGGAAACTCCAACACTATTTCCAGGAGTGCCTACTGTAGCTTCTCAAATCACCCCCTCCCCCCCGGCACGGTGACATTGTCAATAACCGGGATGCCATAGGCCGGAATGCTAAGTGGGCCATATAGCTCC